TCCACAATTACCCCACTCAGTCACTTGTTAGTATTCTGGCACACTTCTTTGCCAAATTTGTGTTAAAGATAAAAAACAATCTTATGCCTTCCTTATTCATGATGTCATCAGAGCACCTTCATTTTCATCATGTTGTTTGGATAATAGGGTCCTTGCAGAGGAAGAAGACAGTGCTAAGGTTCCAGAAATTGTGTCAGTGGAAGAGGTGGATAACGTGGGGAGGGCAGGAGATGGAGGCTTGCAGTAGAGTAACCAACCCTGGTTTGTCCAGGACTGAAGGAATTCCCGGAATGCAAGTCTTTCAGTGCTAAAATCAGGAAAGTGTGGACAAACCCGGAGGCTGGTCACCCCACCAGACAAGAGATTATGCTAAGATAACACTGGCTTTTATATTTTCTGGGTCTTTCATAAATGTCACAAAAGATATTCTATAGATCCAAATACAATACCGTAAATGAAAAGCTGGCTCATCTTTATTACTCACCTGATTACATAGGCAGTGATTTCATCAAGGAAGCTTAGGGTCACGGTCTGCCCCAAAACTGCCTTTCTGTGTTGGAAAGAAATCATCAATATTTTTAGACCCTCCAAAACTGCATCATTCCAGCTACCGGATATTCTTCATTCTGCAGTGAGTTCTCATTTAGAAAAAAGGATCTAAAATTTAATTTCTTTCTCCCTGTTCCTGCTTCTGACCTCCTCTCCATTTCTCTCCTCGAGTAATGCCTGGGTAATAATCCTTACCAAGATCACATAATCTAGCACTCTCATCAGGGTTTGTTTTCTCTTACTCCTCACTTCCCTAGCCCACTTCCTCCCACAAAGACTACAGTTTTAAAATGAAATTAGACATATTTGCTGGACACAAAAGTATACAGTATTCTGTATACTGGGATCCCAGAGCAATGAGAAATGAACCCAGAGCTAGTTTCTACGGCTTTATTGGACCAGTTCATGGACTGGAAATTAATGCACGAGCATCACTCATCTATCATTCTTTTTATTCCATGACAATATGATAAAATTTAAAGTGCCAACTCATCATTGCTTTAAGGTACTTGCAGATGAACAGCAGGTTCCATGATATTCCCAATACATTTAGCTGTGTTACTATTCAATATCAACCAATATTATTTTGTTATTTCACAGACTGGAGTTAGATGTTTCAGCCTTTTTGTTACTTCACATTCCTGTCTTAGGGAAGCTTATTGCCTCACCCCAATGTTTTTTATTCTTACTTGTCGTTCAATTTGCAGCAAAATGGATACCATGAAACTTTTATTTTTTATGCCTTTTGTATCATGTAATATTTTTTTAATTGAGGGGAAAAGTATGTAACATAAAATTCACCATTTTAACCATTTTTAAAGTATACAATTCAGTGGTATTTAGTACATTTACATTGTTGTGAAATCATTTCAACTATCTCATTCCAGAACATTTTTGTCATTACTAAGGGAAATCCCATACCCATTAAACAATCACTCCCCATTCTTCTCCCCCAGCTCCTGGCAACCACTAATCTGATTTCTGTCTCTATGTATTTTACTATTCTGGACATTTCATATAAATGGCATCATACACTATGTGGCCTTTTCTTTCACTTATAGTATTTTCAAAATTCATCCATATTGTAGCATATATCAGTACCTCATTAATTTTCATGGGTGAGTAATTTTCCATTTTATGAATATGCTGCATTTTGTTTATCCATTCATCACTTGTTGGACATTTGGGTTGTTTCCACCCCCGGCTATTGTTAATAGTGTTGCTGTGAACATTTGTGTACAAGTTTTTGTTTGAATACCTCTTTTCATTTCTTTCAGTTGCTGCAAACTTTTAACCATTTCCCAGAGTTGTGACAAATTTGTCTCTCACAGTTTCTGCTTGTTTTTCAGTGCTTTTGTTGGGAAGCAAGAGCTTGGAGCTGCTACTCTGCCATTTTGCTGATGCTGTTCAGCAATAACTATTGTATTAATAGAGTTTTAAATCATTTTAACTATCTTTGCTTTCCTAGAAAAAAATCTCAGTTGGCCAGAAAGTAGTAATTTTTACGCTCTACTGAATACTATTTTCTAACATTTTATTTTGAAAATTTGCATTGATACTTATAAATGAAATTGATCTGTAGGATTTTTTTTCTGGTTTTTTACTGTCTTTATTAGTTTCTGATATCAATGTTATACTGAGCTTATAAAAAAATTGAGAAAGTATTATTCCTGCATCCAGAAATGTTTACATAGTATAAAAGTTATTGGTTTACTGAAGTTTAAATAATTCTCACTTAACAGTATTTTCACCTGGTACCTTTGTGGGAATAGCTCTTTGACAGCTTTCTCTTTTTCTTTCATGCTTCTTGGTTTATTTTGGTTTTCTAACCTGTTTTAAGCCAATTTCATTAATGTATATTTTCTGGGAAAAATTTTCATTTGACTTAATTTTTAATTTGCAAAGAATTATAAAATTTGTACTCATATTTTTGTAAGTTCCTCTGTTTCTGTGGTTAATGTCCTGCTTTCATAACAATTTGTAAATACTAATATTTTCCCCATTTGATATCGAACTTGAAGTGAGTTTGCTCACCCGTCATGCAGCAAGCCAATCTCTGACACCAGGTGTAATAGAAGTAGGAATTTTATTACTGCACAGTGCTGAGCAAGGAGAAAGGACAGCTAATGCTGAAATCCCAAACTCCCCAAAAAGCTAACAGGAAGGGGTTTTATTTGGGGTTTTAGGTAAGGGCGGGGGAGCATATGGCCTTGCTGGTCAGAGCTTTCCCACCATCCTGTGTTTCACCTTGAGACTACTTGCAGAGAGGAGGGAGCCAATGACTTTGCTGGTCAGCAGCTTTCCCACAAGCCTGTAGCTCCTTGGTGGGGAGGAGGAGGAGGAGATAAGAAATCCAGGTGGTTATCCTTGGCTGTGTCTGTCTCCATGCAGGATAGTGGATTTTGGAGCTTGGAATCCAGGGAGTAAGCAGAGAATGAGTGCTTTGGTTTTAATCCCATATATGCTGGGTTTAATGTAGGGAAACCAATATCAGGGCCAGTATCACATTCATCTAGCATATTACATTTTTTTTCCAGATATCAACCCTTGGCTTTAGTTATCAATCCAAATGCATTTTCTATTTAACTAATTTATGTTTTTTCCTAATTAATTATTAATCCTTATGTTTTCCTTAGGGTTATTTGTTATTTTCCTAACTTTTTTAGTTGTATCTTAATTTATTTTAATTCACTTCTAGTAACAAAACTGTTTATTATTATGAATTTTCTAAGTATTGCTTGATACATAGTGTTCTCACTTTATTTTTATTTTTTTAATCCAAAAATGGAAAATAGGTTTTATCTCTCATCACCATGGACTGATTGATAATGGTTGACCAAATCATTATGTTGATGAAAGTCTGGGATGATCATCTACATGCTGTGCGATAAATTCCTCGATCAATTAACTCTGCCAAGAGTGTGGAAGGTAAGAATGGACGTTTTAAAAATCCTTTGCCTTTCTAAACTATAATTCATCAATTTTAACTTTTTAAAATTTGATCCAAAGTTGTTTAAGAGTTTTTATTTGTTTGTTTTGCTAAAACTTCAAGAATGTGTATTGTGGAAGATGCTGTGATGAGCCACCAATATCCCCCTTCAGGAGTGAAGGAATTCTTTTCCCAGTTGCTGGGAGTGCAGCAGGCAGACAGCTGTCAGCACCCGCTCAGGGATTGCTTCAGCTGAAGAGAGTTACATTACGCAAGATCATGCCCTATTCTGAGTTCAACTCATATCCAGTGACTGATTGAAGCAAGGGCATAAACATCCAACCTTTTTGCTCCTTTTTTTGTGAATATTAGAACACAGCCGTGCTCATTTGCTTATGTATTGTTGATGACTACATTCATATTATAATGGCAGAGTAGATCAGTTGTGACAGAGGCTGTAATGGTTAAGAAAGCCTAAAGTATTTACTATCTGGCCCTTCATATAAAAAGTTTACAGACTCCTGCTCTAAAGGGTTGTTTTAGCTCTCGTATTTCCTTGTAGGGTTGTGCTAGGTTGTCATTGGGACTGAATTACACCTAGACTTCTTCTGCCTTCTCCTGCATTCTTTCCCTTCCTTCCACAAATGTTGATCCCAGTGGCACTCTTTAATAAACATTCTTCACAGTAAATTCTGTCCTAGAGTAGGCTTCCTGGGAACCCAAACTACAATATATATTCTCTCCTTCTAGGTTATAAGTATATCTTTCTATTTGTAATCAACCTTATTACTTATAGTCTTTATAATTGTAATATCCTAATTTACTTTTTGTTTTTATTTGATCTTTAAATGATTGAAAAAAGTAGTTCATTGTCTTTTACCACTGTTGGATTTTTGTATATATTTCCTGTAACAGTTGCTGTACATATTTCAAAACTATGTCTTTGTAATAAAACTTTTCATGATATTTATTATTTGTATGTTGTATCCTTCATTGTTATAAAATACTGCAAGTTTACTGCATGCCTTTTGCCATAAATTCAATTGGTCTTAACATCAGCTTGCTTCCTTTTTTTTTTTTTTTTGGTAAGTTCTTACTTTCCAAATTTGAATTACTTTATTTTTACTATGCCTTTTACAAGCAATGTATTTGTGTGTATGTGTAACATTCAAATGCTAATGTACCTAGACTAATTCTAGCAATGGAGGTGGTGGAGAAATGAAGCTAGTGGTTTTAGATGATGTCCAGCATCTTGAATTTCTTGCATAGCCTCCTGTCTGTTCTGACATCAATGAGACTGATAGGCCTATCCTATAATTACGGTGTTTGGCATGGTCCTGATGGAATATCACTCCCTATACAGAACCTAAGTCATGATATTTTTCTTTAACCTCTTGGCTCAAACATAAATGTGAAACTCCACTTGAATATGCTACAGTTGATTTGGTAACATATTCTTTGTTTAATTAAAAGTATGAATGGAAATATATACCATTATATGAGGAGCAAGATTTGCCATCAGGTTTTTAATAATGTGGACTAATAGAAAAACTGGACAATGTGTTTTTTAATCATCCTTTGTTTTATTGGTTACGTGTCTCTCTTGTTTTGATCTACATTGAATTTAAAATATCTTTCATGTTTAATTTGAGTGAGGTACTATAAGATGTAAATATTTCTAAAACCCATTTAGTACACATTTAGAATCTTCATAAAATAATTTTTGAACTTATAATTTTTGTAGTCATCATGGTCTACTGCCATACATTTTATAATATTTACTATAAACTGTTGAAGTATAATATTATAGGACAGTTTTTTAGGTAAGCAATAGCACAATATTTTTTTTTTTATGAAGCAGAACACTTTCTCTTAAGGTGATTTGTATTTGCCTCAATATAATTCCTCAGTTAGCTATCATAGTTCTTCCTTAATTATTCTTTGCATGCTTCCATGGTTATAAAAAAATGTTTACTATTTCTCAAGCTACTAGGAAAAATGCAAAGTCATGGCATATAAATGACTTTGAAGTATATTTTTTGATAAATTGTTCGTGACAAGTAGAATGAGTGTGTGTTCATGATTAAAAAGTACGCAACTGGAGCTTGAAGGAACTGTAGTTTGTGTTCTTCAGCTAATATATAATTTATTTCTTACTGGAACACTGTTACTCTACACTTTGCTGATAATTAATATGGATTTTGAATATGTGTCATAACTTCGAAAGATTATTTGGCTAATTTAGTTACCCATTTGAAGTGGGATATTTTAAATATTATTATTAAAATAGTTATAAAATAACTGACACAGGTCAAATAAATGTCATGATTTAGGGTGGATTGTAGGCTTTATTAAAGAAAAAATTTGAACGTCTTGCTATATTTTAAATTTATATTTATTTTATTCAATCACCATATATTTATTGATACTCAACTATAAGCCTGCTGCTCCTGGTAATAGTTTCTAAATTAAAAGTAGATAAACATATAAAATAAAGCATTTAGCTGGAAAAAGGGCATATTTTGGCTATAATCTCATAGCATGTGATATAGCATATGTCCTTATATATAAACATATTTGTGTTTTTTCTACAGAAAATACACCCTCTTTCTAAATACATATAAATATGTACATATGTACAAACACACATTCACATATGCATATTTTAGGTGAAATCATATAGTGCATGCAATAATTTATATCACTTTAGGGCTATGATACAGTAGCAAAGTAGCATTTTAGAATAACTATAGAAAGATGGAATAAATGCATTCACATAAAATTATATGTCAAAGAGAATTTAAATGAAAAAGTTTTTACATGATCCACTCTAAGTAATTTTTGTACTTATTTTCTAGTGAACTAATTGAAATTATTTATAAAGCAATTGGCTTTTGAAAACTAAATTGGATTCAGAGTTTCAAATTACTTTACATAAATTCACCCTGAAAAGAAAATACATTAGAAGAACATTTTGATAGTTATGTTCAAGAAGTTTTAGTTTCAGTTTAACATATGCAAAAGGAAATGTATTAACACCTTCTATCTTGGCTTTTCAAAAAAAAGCTTTATTGAAATGTAATTCACGTACTATAAAAGTCACCACTGAAAGTGTGTAAATTATTATTTCTTTGTAAATTTATAGAGTTGTGCAACCTTCACCACTATATAATTTTAAAACATTTCATCACCACAAAAATAAATCCAGTACCAATTAGCAGTCACTTTCCAAACTGCCGTTTCCAAAGCCCCTGGCAACCACTGTTCTATTTTCTGTTTCTATTGATTTGCATATTCTGGAATACCATATAGATGGAATCATACAATATACGGCCTTTTGTGTCTGGCTCCTTTCACTCAGATAATGTTTTTAAGATTCATTGGGTTGTAATAGGTATCAGTACTTCATTCCTTTCTATGGCTGAAATTAATTGTGCATGTATATACACTGTATTTTGTTTATCCATTCATCAATTGATAAACACTTCGGTTGCATTCACATTTGGATGTTATTTTATAAGCTTCTATGGATATTCATTTACAACAGTCTGTCTGGACATATGTTTTCGGTTCTTTTGAGTATATACCTATGAGATAAATTGTTGGGTCATATGGTAATTCTAGGTTTACCATTTTGAGGAACTGCCAGACTGTATTTCAAAGCAGGTGCATCATTTTACATTCATTATAGTAATATATGTGGGTTACAATTGTTGCACATTTTTGCCAATTGTTGTTATCCATTATTATGATGATAGGCATCCCAGTATGTGTGAAGTGGTATCCCATTGTGGTTTTGATTTGCTTTTCCTTAATAACTAATAATGTTGAGCTTCTTTTCATGTGCTTTATCACCATTTCTATATATTCTGTGGAGAAATGCCTTTTCAAATAATTTGCCCATTTTTAATTGGCTTGTTTAAGTTTTTGCTGTTGAGTTGTATGAGTTCTGTTATACACACTGGATACAAGTCCTTTATCAGGTATATGATTTGCAAATATTTTCTCCCATCTACTTATATGTATTTACCTTTTCATTTTCTTGATGGTGTCCTTTGAAGCACAAAAGTTTTTAATTTTGATGAGATCCAATTTATCTATTCTTTCTTTTGTCAATTTTTGTTTTTGATGTAATGTCTAAGAAACTATTGCCTGACTCAGGGTTGTTAATATTTACTTCTATGTTTTCTTCTAATAGTTTTATAGTTTTAACTTTTATATTCAGGTCTATTATCTATTTTGAATTAGCTTTTGTATATGATGTGAGGTGGAGCTCAACTTCATTCTTTTGTATATGGATATCCATTTTATGAGCACCATTTATTGAAAAAGACTATTCTTTCTTCATTGAATTATCTTGGTATCATTGTCAAAAATCACCATAAATTTAAGGTTTTATTTATGGACTCCCATTTGTATTCCATTGATCTCTACATCCATTTTTATTCCAGTTCAATGCTGTCTTGATTGCTGTAGCTGTGTAGTAAATTTTGAAATGAGACTGTATAATTCCTCAAAATGTGTTTTCTCTTCACTAGTTATTTTGCTTAATAATATCTTAACTAGTAAATAATGCTCATTTTTAATGAGTGCTTTCAAGTTGAAAGTAAAGTAACATTTGTTATTGTTATATTTTACAAGTAAGAATTATGTATATTAAAAGTATACAATTTGATGGTTTGATACACATATACATTGTGAAATAATCATAACCTTCAAGATAACATATCCAGTTACCACGTTAATTTTTTTTTGTGTGGTGGGGAGGATCTACCCTCTTAATAAATTTCAACTATAAAAAAGAGTATTGTTAATTATAGTCACATTGTTGTGAATTACATCTCTAATACTTATTCATCTTGCATAAGTGAAACTTTGTACCCTTTGACCAACATTGTCTAATTTTCCCCACTGCTCCACCCTTGGTAACCACCATTCTTCTCTCTGCTTTTTTGAATTTGACCTTTTTGGTTTGCACACATAGAATTGAGATCACGCA